TGGGAAGGACCAATCGGCAATCCTCGGCTGACTCCGCTAGGCTCCATTCAAACCTCGGATGTGATAGGTGGAGGAATACGCATCAGATCGCTACATTTCTCCGCCGGAAACTGCCTTGTCACTCATTTAATATTTCGCTCTGCCTAAAGTTCTTAGAAAAGGTTTCTTGATTTGTGTAATTCCTCGTGCTAATTACAACCAAATGTAAGTATTCTTTGAAAGCAAGAACACAGTGTTGGGCGTGCATCAAAGTAACTCGGATTTCAAAAGTATAATATTTGAATGAAATTCAAATAAGATAACATGACTGAATCAGCAAGATGGAAGATCACCGTTGACGTCCGAGGTTATGTGCGAGGTACGAGTCATCCGAGGAACTCCGATTGGGGAAGGACAATCACAAGGTATGACAAATGCCGAGAACCTGTAACTGAATGAGGTCGTGCGAAGGAGGCACCATTTACATGTCGTAACTGTAAACAAATAAAAAACAAATCTATGCCAATATTTTTAAGACAATTTGTTTCCAATATAGTAAATTACTTAACATAAACAGTCAAACAGTCTTTACCATTATGAATACGAATTAGATTCTAAGGGAAGTAACTCTAAAATTATAAACAGTGTTGGTAGATCTGTGTCATGTTTCTAAATTTGTGTTTTCAGTCATGATATCTAGATATGATTGGAAATGAGGATAAAATAATGTTTATAATATAAAAACTTTCTGAAATGACTGGATTTTGGAAAATTTTTATGGTAAAAAATTAAGTAGATCCTTTTTATCAACATTTTACATAGGAAATGCATTGAGAATTGTAAAAACATTGATTTGACAAAATCTTATAAGGAAGGGTGGCTTGATGGGTTAAATGTGCCAGAATATAACATGTTTAGTATCTTTACACCTGTTCAAGAGTTCTTGAAAAAATCTATACAAAAGCCAGAAACCTTGCCAATGTCCTTAAAAGCAATTACGATGCCTTTAATTTAAAAATAAGTTCACATTAGATTTCTCAACTTGAGATCCGGAATAACGTATAAACTCAATTATAACATTGGCCGCAGCAAACGCGATTCACTAGGGGTTGTTAAATTGCAACATTGTTGCGTCATAAAAAATATATATAAGTTTCATGAATCGCGTTCATTGCGGCCAAAGTGAATTTTGCGATCAAAGATATAAAAAATGCCATTTTTGGAGAATATATTGATACATGGTATGGTTTTGAAATTTACGTAGCGTTTGTGTGACGTTTTGGCGCCATTTTACATCCGTGATCAGATAGACCTGATCGTGCAAAAATATATCAACACTTTATTTCTGAAGATATCATTGTTTATTTTTGAGGAATTTACTAGGCCGATAGTGGTAACAACCGTATTTTGTTCTTTTCATCTGAGTAGTGGATGAAGAAAAGAAACAGAAAGAAAATTTAACAAAAATAGAACTAAACATTTGCTGTTTTTATTAACATTAGAAAAAAACAGAATGTACATATATACACGCGATGATAGGCTTATTTCTATTTTTCTTGAAAAGGATTATTCTTGGGAAAAGATACTGATAAATCCCGTAAAACAAATTCCCATTTCAAAAAATGTTCAAACTCTGAGATGGGGTCAATATTCAACAAGGTCAACTTTCAACTTGTTGAGGTCATCCGAGATAAGAAAACAAGTAATCAAGCTGTTGAAAAATGACCCCGGGTATAAATTCAACGAATTATGATCTCAATTTTCAACGGAAAAAATCACCCCTATTTCAATATTCAACGTTGAAAAATGAACCCAGGGTCAGTTTTCAGCTGGGGTCAATATTCAACGTTACACCGGTCTGTACTGAGATTAGAAGGACAAAGCAAATAGTTAAATGGTCTGAGCCTAAAATGAAAAGCGACTCAGGTGCATCAGTTCGTAGTAATATTTTTATTCAACGTAATTTTTTTCTTTATACAGAATAAACTATAAAACATAGGGTTTATCCTCAAATAATTTATATATGTTTCCCCAAGCAATATCATGACCATGCGACGCAACCGCAATGCAAGTCCTTTTTCTTCCGTTTGCCTAGAGAAAGAGAAAAAAGAAATCCCCTGATATGAGTATTACAGGGTCACAAATTTGGTACGTTCTCCTTTTAAATATTTTATTTGTTAAAAAAGAAAAAAAAATTCTAGAAATTTTAAAAACACGCTCACAACACTCTTACAGAAGAGCAGACATTAGCAAACACGAAACATAAAATATTAGTATTAGTAGTTAAAAATTCTACCAAATTCCTCAAATTTGAGGGATTAACCATAGGTTCCTTTTCATTGTTCCTTTGATAACAAACACAAATTGTCCATTCGCAGTCCCCGAAACCTTCCATTTCCAACCTGAACGGTGAATGAACGATGAACAAACAGTAAACAAACACAGAGCGAACAATGAACAATTGATGATGAATGCAACTTGGTGAGCGGTGAACGTTGAGCGAACAAAGAACGCGAACGGAGCGCAAACGCGAGCGCAAAGTGAAAGGTGAAAATTGGGTGAAAGGAGGATGAACTATTTTTAGGAATGCCTCCAATCTTTTCCTTGCATTCAAACTATTTGATTGTATTCTAATGTCAGGTGCTAAAATATAAATAAACAATAAATAGACACATAAATAAAAACTCGTTTAGCACGAACACAGATATTGCGAATTTACGGATATAGCAAAGTCAACTTTGATCCCCAGCAATATAAATTTAATGAATTTCTTGTACGATTTTAAGGAATAACGGATATAGCGAAGTAACTTCTTTGGTCCCAGTGACTTCATTATAGCCGAGTTTATTTTGCACTTACATATGATGTTTAAAATCAACATTTTAACAACACACTGTTTATGCTGTAAAAATGTGCAATTGTTTTAAAACTCATATAGTATAACAGATAAAATTAATCCACACATAAAATAAATGTGCATATTCTTTTAACTAATAAAACAAAGTGGATTTTAGAAGGAAAAATTAGTTCTTATAGAATGAATATACTACCATGGCTGTAACAACCATAAAAATATTTCCGTGCTAAGGCTATTTCGTGCAAAATAATGAAAAAAATAAAACATTTACAAAGGTCTGTTGACGTATTTTGAAAATTTAATACAATAATATATTAGAACAAGTTCTAACATGTTCTCGTGCATCATTTAAAAAATATGTGTTAGAAACAAAATTTTTGTATATGCTGCAGTTGGCAAATTAAAAAACTTGGATTATTATTTATTTATTAACGATTTGTCATCTTTTATAGACTTTGCTTGAGGTATATGTACATTGTCTTTTTCTAAATTGAAAATTTTTTATGTGCTTACAACACATTTATTTACAAGGGACATTTACTTATTAACGTAATAGCGAAATTATAAAAAAAATATAAATGTCGTAGATAAGTTTGCGATGAAATAACGAAAATTAGTTATTAAATAAAAAAAAGTATAAATTCTTACCGTTAAAAAGATAGGTTTTTAACTTCAGAGTTCCGAATGACAGTGGCAATAAAGACCGCAAGATGAACGCAAAGTAAACGGAACGAAGAACAAACGCTGAACGTTTTGTGAACGGTGAACTCGAGCGCACGGTCAACGGTGAACGAAAAACAGTGAAGGGAGAGCGAACGGTGAACGGACAGTGAAAAAACTGTGAACGCACGCGGGAAAAACGGTGAACGAGCGGTGAGCGAACGGAAAAATGGAAAAGTAGAACCTCTTAGGGACTATAGAAATTGAACAATATTTATGAAATTCGAATTTTCATCAATTTCGACTTTTCATCAAACTTTGATATGAGAATTTACATTGTCCTTTATTTTTTACTTGAATGCACTGTTCGGATTTTCACAACTGTTCGTTGTCATGATAGAAAACCTAACTGCTAAATTACCCCGGGTACCGAGAAATAATAACACTGTGTGATTATAGAAAAACATATTTTGAAGCCCTTAATCGGTGCATGGTGAAGTCTTTATATGAGTTGAAAACTTTTAAACGGGACGAAAAGCAACATACGAGGGCTGTTCGAAAATTATTGAGACATTGTGTATATTTGTTTTCAAATGAACGTCTTTCGGTAAAAATTTGCGTATACATTTGACATACACTAAGAAATAATAAAAGCAAAAAATATTTTACAGTAGGGAAATCTGCTAAAAACGACAAAATGGATTTTTACGTCAAGGGCTGAGCAGCCAGCATACCTACAATTTTGTGTTGCGCAATGTAGAATTCTTTTCCAGACTGAACGACCTGCTAAAACAATGGCAACGAGAAAAAATGATGTATTATAGTTTTTTTTATTTCATTGGTATACATTTTTTTTTTACAATTTATTTTATCAGAGTAAAATTAAAAGCCCTGGACGACCATGAGTTTTTAGGTACGGTATTAAACCCTAGTTGCATAAATCGGCACTGCATGATTCTAAGTCATCCTTTCCCACAAATGAAAATTTCTCATTGGGGTACCAACAGCATACATTTTTAAAGAATAGTTTAAGAAAAGATACTGTTTGATTTCTGTAATTTTATATGTAATAACAAAGAAAGCAGAGTATCAAAGGCTTCCTGGTCGTTTCACACGTGAAACCATCTACTGCTGACCTGACGTTAAATGACATAGCAATGCTGCTCCGGGTCGATAGGTATATGTATGTTTATTATTTCACCGAAAATTCTCTTATTTTTATAGGAATGAGAAATTTTGCATAAGTATTTTATTCATTCTATATAAAATGTCAATGAATTTGTATGAAATTATCACCGTCCTTTACGGAGTAAATGTAATTGTCTCAATGATTTCCGAACAGCCCTTGTATATACATCATTCATTAATTTGCATTGACATAAAAAGTTTACCAACACATGGAGACGAACTCTTTGTAACTTTTCTGTCACCTGTTTATATTAAACACTTTCATTTTGAATATTTCATATGTAATGTTTTAACACTATTTTTGTTTTAACAATAGGTACATCTATGGAAATCAAATAACTGTATTAGACAAAAGATTTTTCAAAGATCTTCCAAAATTAGAAGTATTGTAAGTAAACAGTCTATTATTTACAATTAAACAATAATAATATTGGTAGTGTAGGAAACCATATTTAAATGTCCCTGTAATCGATGATTGGTGATGCATAGATTTTTTTCTGGTCTTCTCTCTGTATGTTTTTCTGTTTAGATGTTAGCAAAAATACCTCATCCATAAATTTTAAATGGTTGTAGCAAGGGCTGTAAATATAGATAAGATGTTTTGCTACCAACATTACCTTATGCCCTCTGCGTTTGACTAAAATTTGTTAACTAAAACTAAAACGAAATTTCAATTTTGACCTAACCTTGGAATGGATGTGTTGTGCTTTTATATTTGTATGCGGGTATCATGTGACAAGACTTTGAAAGGAATAAAATAGACCTGTCTACGTTTTTTTGTAATATATCTCTAGTGCAATATAAGTAAAATTCCTTTGACGTCGTAATGGTATGGTCAAATATCTAAGTCACTGTGTGTATATATATATATATATATATATATATATATATATATATATATATATATATATATATATATATATATATATATATACAGCACAAATTACAACAACTCTTAAACTAATATAACTGCCCTAAGTGAAGGAATATTAATATAGAAAGCACAGAGAAATTCACTTTTACAAGGATACTCACTTCCGCCCCAGCCCGGGGTTGAACTCTCGACCTACGGAATCTGTCTCCTAGCAGTACAGGAACAGCGCGTTAGACCGCTCGGCTATCTAGGCAAGTTAAAAACTTGCTTTCGATGCCGATGGAATTCTCACAACGCTGCCCTACACTACACGGTCATTGAGAATGGAAGTGAGGTACAGTTATTTGGACATTAGTTTTTAGAGGATTGTTACCAATACATGTTGTGATGAAATTAATTTTATTTATACAGCACAAATTACAACAACTCTTAAACTAATATAACTGCCCTAAGTGAAGGAATATTAATATAGAAAGCACAGAGAAATTCACTTTTACAAGGATACTCACTTCCGCCCCAGCCCGGGGTTGAACTCGCGACCTACGGAATCTGTCTCCTAGCAGTACAGGAACAGCGCGTTAGACCGCTCGGCTATCTAGGCAAGTTAAAAACTTGCTTTCGATGCCGATGGAATTCTCACAACGCTGCCCTACACTACACGGTCATTGAGAATGGAAGTGAGGTACAGTTATTTGGACATTAGTTTTTAGAGGATTGTTACCAATACATGTTGTGATGAAATTAATTTTATTTATACAGCACAAATTACAACAACTCTTAAACTAATATAACTGCCCTAAGTGAAGGAATATTAATATAGAAAGCACAGAGAAATTCACTTTTACAAGGATACTCACTTCCGCCCCAGCCCGGGGTTGAACTCTCGACCTACGGAATCTGTCTCCTAGCAGTACAGGAACAGCGCGTTAGACCGCTCGGCTATCTAGGCAAGTTAAAAACTTGCTTTCGATGCCGATGGAATTCTCACAACGCTGCCCTACACTACACGGTCATTGAGAATGGAAGTGAGGTACAGTTATTTGGACATTAGTTTTTAGAGGATTGTTACCAATACATGTTGTGATGAAATTAATTTTATTTATACAGCACAAATTACAACAAATCTTAAACTAATATAACTGCCCTAAGTGAAGGAATATTAATATAGAAAGCACAGAGAAATTCACTTTTACAAGGATACTCACTTCCGCCCCAGCCCGGGGTTGAACTCTCGACCTACGGAATCTGTCTCCTAGCAGTACAGGAACAGCGCGTTAGACCGCTCGGCTATCTAGGCAAGTTAAAAACTTGCTTTCGATGCCGATGGAATTCTCACAACGCTGCCCTACACTACACGGTCATTGAGAATGGAAGTGAGGTACAGTTATTTGGACATTAGTCTTGATCCGAAGAGCTGTGTTACGTCTTATTGACAGGTGGGGATCATCAGATCAAACTAACTTGACGCTAAGCGTTTCGTTGAATCTCAAATGATTCCCCCCAAGACTCGACTTGATAAGACGCTTCATTTCAAGTTACTCTTATAATACTAAATATTTTTTTTAGTTCATCGAAAAGCAAATCTAACAAGGTATTACAGACTTTTTTATTTGAACAATCAAGTGTGAACTTCGTTTAATCAGATCTTCAATCAATCTTGTTACATACAAAACAACTATTTTCTGGATAAATTATGTTGTACGATAGTATATCTAATTAAGATAAGAAACAATTGTAAACAAAAACAATGATTGATTATGCAATAAACATAATGTGAGAGCTTAAAAGTCTACTTTTAAATAAGTTTGATTTCAGGTCTATGGTCAATTTGCAAGATGAATCTAAAATAAAACAACAACAAAAAGAAAAATATATAATTTATTTGATTAACTTAAAAATTAAAGATACACATCAGCAAACTGCGTTTTAAAATGAAAATATCTTTTCCCTTAATTTATGTTTATTTCATATTATTACTGATTTTTCATTTAGATATTCTTTTTTTAAAGGGGAATTGAAATGAAATAAAAGATCATTCTATTAGTTAGGTATATGCGGTAGTGCGCGAAATTCTGCCTGTTCGATCTATTTGATATGGAATCTGATCCATTTCGAAACAGAGACGAAATTCTGTCCTTATTTTGACCGTATGATATCGGTGATTGTCACTTGTCACAAAATGGAGTAGTACATAATATATGGTGGTGATTGTTTTGCTTATGATTACATTTTATGGTAATTAAAATATTAAAAAGATGTCAGTGTATGTCTAACTTTAATTTTATCATGACGGTAAACAGCGTGTGCTGCAAGAAAATGCAGAATTTTGCATCCTAAAGTAAAAATGTCAATCCGAAGATTTTAACTCATTCGAAATAAATAACGGTGATTTTCGCCTCGGATCAATGCTTGAGCCCGATCGGTTAAAATGAATGATCATTTTCATCCTGTGCAACAGGTAAGAAAAAATAGAATAGAAATCATGCACAAAAGGTATTTCAAGAGAGAGAGAGAGAGAGAGAGAGAGAGTTGTTATCTCTGATAGATTAAAGGGCAATTTAAGCGATTTAAGCTGATAGATTAGAGAACGAAAATTTCGAGTACAATCGGAAATTGGAATACAATGGAATTAAAGTCTTAATATGATTTTTAAATTAGTCGTCTATATAAACGATATGAAAGAAAGTTAACAAAACCCCAGTTAAATTATCAGCAAGTGTAATATTGAGTGTATTATGTATAATATTTTATTATATTCTAGTTAAGAAATTTGTAATAAATGAAAAATTTACACACTGTCAGGTAAGAATTAGATATATTCAATTGCATTGTTAGCCATTGCTTATTCATATTTCAAAACTGACTAAGTTATAGAAATTGGAATTAATTTCATTTTTGTTTCACATGCAACAATATTTTTAGAGTTTTCTTTTTATCCTTTTATATTATTAATTTTCATATTTGCCTCATCCACTGACCTGAGATGTACATTTCTAATCTTGACTCAATAATGGTAAATATGAATTTAAACAATTTTAATTATAAAACAACATTTCAAGATAGCCCTATGAAATCTGATGTTCTTTATAAATAGAGTCTCTTATTATTTCAAGCATGGCACGCAAAGAAGAAAACTGAAATTTAATCCTTGAAAAAAAACAACAACATTGAGCACCGTTTCTAAATATAATAGACATGACTCACTGCATTTATTTATCGGTTTACACATTCAAATGATTTAAATCACACTTAAATGATTTGCTTTTTAGTTTAGTAACAGTTTTATCAAATCCCTCATACATGACTTTTGAAAAGAAAAATATTTTTTTTGCCTCAACAATTTTGTCTCATACAAATAACTTTGCAATTTTGACTAGTATATATAAATGCATGGTGGTGTCTTGCATGCGAGCACCAACTTTTCGTTTTGCGTGATTAATTTTGATCAGTTCTAATTTAATTTTTGGATGTAGCATACATTCTTATAATTTTCGTGAATCTTCTTACATGTATTTAGTTTGAACAGAATAAATTTAGCTTTCTTCCAATATGCAATATACCTTTTCCTTGTGAGACTTTTACCATTTAAAATGTTTTTTTTTTATTTTACAATAATTCATCTGATATATAATGTATGCAAAATAAGAGAGTTTGCTTTACAAATTTTATTTGATTTTTTGTCAATGGCAATTATGTGGTTGTTGATAGGAGTATCTTTTTTTCAATCGACTATTCCTTGTTATGTAAGTATTGTTTTAATGTCAATATTATAAAACGACGCATCTTTAAAATGTTGATTTTAATTTTGAAAGACGTTTTTGTAGCTGTCAGAAACATTTTTTAATGCAGAGATCATTTAAAACTGCAGAAATTTTTTTTATTATCTATAATGAATTTGTATTTTAGAAATCATGATCTTATGATCAGTGCTGTTCTCACATGTATTTTATAGATGTATTCAGCCATCTCGATTCTCGTGAGGTATGCATACAGTAAGTGAGTAAGTAAGTAATCATTTATAATAGTGGCATTGTGCTTATAGACATTTCAATATACATTGTAAACAAAATACGCTTAACTGAATTTGCACCCGACCCATTGGACCTATAAGTCACCTTTTCCATCAATTATATACATATAAATTTACACACGCAGAAGATTCTTTCTATGGTTAAATGCTGTATGTACACATTTGGCTAACTTTATTTGATAATTTTGATTTAAAACTTTAAACAAATAATCATAATCATTACTATTTACAAGTAGTATTTCATTGTACGTTGTTTACCGTCTCATTGAAAAAGCACTCAGATGGACGTCACCATTGTTTCAACGCACTTTGAAAACAAAGTGGAGATGGGACAAAATCAAATAACTTTTGTTTTTAAAAGTGTTTTCAGAGTGTACATCATTTTTAATGGAGACACTTGACGTGTTTTCAGAATAAATGTATAAACAAGAATTCTAGACAAAGATTTTGGTACCACTGATAATATTAATTAAATGATCCGTTCTTTATCTATTTAATATCCAGCGGAACTACACAATCACTATTCAAAATGTATCCACAATGATTTATCAGAAAGATGACATTTACAGGGTATTTGAACAGTCTAGCTTTTTATGATATCAAACAACAGATTAAGAGGTAATTTTACGACATAACTTTTGTTTATAGGATTTCTTTGAGAAAAATTAATGGTGAGCAACGTAAAGTTTCAGTGAAGTGAGAATAGTGTCTAAGGTTTTTTTTTTTGAAATATGTATCAAATAAATGAGTCATCCATTGTATCATAATTATATATTCATAATAGAAAAATGAAAATGATGAAAAACTTAATTGAAATTTGATTAAAAAATAATCAAACCCCTTTACCATACAAAAATACTTTTAGGTAAAGATCTAGCAAATGAAAGTTGCTTGCAGATTTTCTTCTTCCTGAAATCTAGGAATTAGTGAGAGACAGACTTGTTTGTTTGCCTTATTCTACCAGGGAACAGGACATAGAAACATATCATGTATTTTATAAACCTGTTTCTTTTACCATTTTACTAATGTTTAATTGGTTAAGTTTTCGAAGAGTTGTTCCAAACATACCCATTTTTGCGAAGGGTCTTTTTCTCTCTTTTCCGCTGAAATAACATATTGTATAGAATCCTGAACCCATTTAGAAATGCATGTACAAATATTAGGTCAATATATGACATCAAGAAACATCAAGCAAAAAATACTTAAATTCTTCGTACAAAAATTTTTCCCGCCTCAGCTTTTTGAAAATAATTCTATGTTTAAATCTAGGAAATCGTGAGAGACAGACTTGTTCATTTGCCTTATTCTACCAGGGACCAGGGCATAGAAATATGTCAGGTATTTTATAAACCTTTTTTGTTCCTTTTTAACTAATGTTTAATGTTAAATTGGTTGAATTTACGAGGAGTTGTTTCATATATATTTATTTTCGCCAAGGGTCGTTGACTTTCTTCTTCGCTGAAATTTCATATTGTATAGAATCCTGACCTCCATCTGGTAAAACATGTATGTAATATCAGTCATCATATTTACTTTCAGCTTTGATGAAATTCAACCGTTTAAAATTGAGGTACATCTACCAGACATACAGAGTTGTACTTTAGCGACCCAGAGACACATCTCAGTAGTGCTGACTAGGCCTTTAATCGACATGTTCTTCTGTATTAGGTTTGTTCTTGACCTTATTAAATTTTATTATGTCCTCTTCGTTTGAAATATTCAACTTCTTAAATGCTATTGTTATACCTTTAAATAATTGTTCATTTACAAATCTATACGGAAAACACGTCCAACATATCTAATGTTATTGAATTCTATTAAGGACAGATGATACAAACAAATTCTATCTTTTGAGGAGACTTAATATCATGTCACAAGTTTAGAAAAGTGGATAATTCTTAGAATTTTTTCTCCTTAAAAATGGAAAATGAAATAGACTTGGTAAATATTACTAATATTTCAATAAAATTATACAAATTGATAAAACACACTCAGTAAAGGTTTACAGATGTAAATGAATTTCAGAATATTTTATCTTGATGCTAAATGTGTAAAATGAACTTTTGAATAATATACCAAGCCAGATGAATTTTATGAGGAAATGCAAAATGGTAAAAATCAGCCCATATGATATAAGGTGATTTATACTATTTTGCTTTTCCTAATAAAATTCACCTGGCTTGGTATATTTTTCTAATGTTTATATTTTTAGCACCAATCTAACATATTCTAAAATTTGTTTTCACCTGTAAACCTTTACTGGGTGTAATTTGTCCATATTTGTTTTTTTTATTGAAATATTAGTAATATTTTACAAGTAAATTTCAATTTCCAGTTCTTAGGAGAAATTTCTTTTAAGACTAATCCACTTTTCTAAACTTGTGACATGATACTTACATGTAGCCTCCTACACAGAAAAAAATTGTTTGTATCATCTGTCTTGTTTGTTTGAAAGTTTCAACATTTTTGATTTTAAAATTAAATTTTGTTAAAAAGTCTGTCAAAATATCCTTTTATTTAAAGCTGTACCTCTGAGCACTACTAAGTCAATGATTGGATGCAAAGTTTTATCCTAGACCGTGCGTGAAAAGCATATGGATGAGTAACAATGGATCAATGATACAATTGTTGCAATAATTTATCATATGTCATGCGTGATAAAAATGGATCAGCACTTCTTGATCAGTGATGCAACATTTTACTCTAAACCGTGCATGAAAAAAGTTAATGAGTACTACTTGATCAGTGATGCAACATTTTATTCTATACCGTGCGTGAAAAAAATTAACGAGTACTACTTGTTGAGTGATGGAACATTATTCTAGACCATGCGTGAAAAAGAAATGAATGAGTGCCACTTGATCAGTGATGCAACATTTAATTCTAGACCATGCGTGTTAAAGAATTGGATAAGTTCTGCTTGATCAGTGATGTAAAATTTTATTTTAGACCATGCGTGAATAAAACCAGTGTACTTTCAATCTGTATCCTATCTTCTATCAAGAACTATTACCAATGTGATTTAAATAATTGTATATATTTAATTACATATTTCTTTACTTATTGTTTTATTTTATTTAATCTTATCTGGATTTAATTGAAGTCTATATTTTGTCAATTTTATCTTCCATTATTTTTCAAAGTTTTTTATGTAATCTTTATTTACTCGTATATAGTTCATCTAAGTTGTATTACACAGTCCTCACATTTAAATTTCAATTTAGTCAATTTTAAACATACATACATCTGATTACCACAACTGGAATGCTTATATGTTTTTAAAATAAAAGGACCGTTTAAAAATTTGTGAAAAGTGTGAATATTTTTTTATTTCAAACTCAACACAACCAAGATACATTTAACACGTGTTGCTCTCGGAAGTTTTTAATCATTATAAGACATAAAATTTTATTTACTGCTTCTGTTAAATCTGAAACTGCTTCCTTTACAGCTTTGTTGACCATGAACCTTTTAGTACATTACTTTAAGAAAAAGGATGAAAAGACAGAAACTATTCAACTTTTATTTGTTTATTATATTGTTATTTTATTTGCAAGACGTCCGTCTTCCCTGCTACATGTATTACTCCATAAATAAGGGACCGGCGAAAAAAAAAGATTTATATGGACAATGGAGACTTATTTAAACTTAAATTTTCAGCATAATCAAAAGAAAACGTGCTTGAAAAAAGAAACTCGTTTCTTTTATCATAGTTTATTACTATATCTTTTTAAAGTACAAAAAAATACAATTCTACACACCACTTCGTGTCTGAATGTTTTCCCCATTAGAATTCATCAGTGATTCAGAGAATGCATAGTGTTTTTTATGAGTTGGATTTTCTTTTTTTCGGGATAAATCTGTATTTGTTTCAATGCACAGGTGTTTTATGCATTGTATTTATTTGACTAGAATATTAAATATAATATATTTCACTGAGTTAAAATGTCAAATATAATATTGATGCCTAATGCAGAATTGCAGAGGCAAGAGGGAGTATAATTTTGTTGACTGGATATACTTGTAATACATTTTGACAGTCTGTCTAGACCCAGCCTTAACTTCCCTTTTCTAGGAGTAACAGGATTTGCCCCAGGGACTGAAAACTTTTAAGAACAAAAAAATCTTTCTTTCAGGGTATGTATTGACAATTTAGTACTTTGGAAGCAGAAATCAAGAATCATTTCAAGTTTTATTCAAATAGTTTCAAATCTTACAGAAGATATGAATAAAAAACAATTTCATTGCCTTTGCTTATATAGGGAAATTACACAACTATCAGTTCTCCGCATATACAAGTATAGAGAAATTACATAACAAACGATCAGTTCATTACCAACTGAAAAAGTTTTATCTACACCATGCAATCAGTTCGTTGTGTATTGTAGATGGAAAACCCCCCAAAAATAATCAGCCCAGTGTCTCCTCAGTATTCACAGAAACTGCATACAATACAGTCAGTCTTTGTTCAAATAGAAAAGCATGATAAAAGGAGCACGAATTAATTCTATTTAAAGCACAATTACCATTTCAAGGAAAACCCGGCTGCCGCTACTTCTTTCCAAGTAGATGTTATACAATATCTAAGTATAGAACATATAAGAACATATAAACACTACTGCACACCGTTAAATATATTTAGTACAAGATGAAGATTTGCAAAACATCTTATGTCATCATTATGTTTCAGGAATTCGTGAAAACGACGCACAATTGATCGACCAAGAATTACAACCGACGTTTTTTTTCTCTTTGAAGATAAACAAACAACAATTTTATTCATCCAATACTTGATAAAATAAAAAAAAATACATTTTAAAAAAAAAACATACGTCCTCCAAGACTGTGGGCGGGAGAAGAAGCCGATTGCAGAACCGTGTTGCCAGAATTTTAATCTATCTTATTTTTTTAGATTTTGATTGGTCAATCTCTTTCAATATTATAATACATCAATATACAGTATTTCAAACTTAAACACTCAAAAAGGATCCGCATTGATTATAATTTAAAATACAAAAAAAATTAATTAATTGTTTAACAAAAACCTATCCGTGACACACCAGACTAACTTAGACTGTGATTCCCTGTATTTTCATTCAATTCATATATCATTTAATTTCTGTAAAATAACTAACTCTGTTTGGATAAAAATTCTTTTCATAACTGCATCAATAGAATGTGAAGTTCACTTGCAATAAGCAGCCGAAACTACTTTGGCTAACTTTACATGTGTATATATCCTGCTTCCATATTACTTTGTGAAAGAAAAATGAAATATTTATTCCTGAATATAAAATTTTGCCCGTAACATTCTTTGGTTATTTTCTACCACAAGACGAAAGACCACCTTTAAGCAATCACTTAATGGTAGCTTAATGGTGACTTAAAGGTGCTTAAAGAATTTAACTCCATTAAGCCACCGTTAAGCCACCATTAAGCTGCAACTTACAGGTGCTTAATGTCCAAACTCCATTAAGGTACCATTAAGCCACCTTTAAGCCGAGCTTAATGGTGACTTAATAGTCAAACCTCATTAAACTTTTACGCATCTTATATCGAATCTTTGATCTAACTTTTTAACTTATTTCATTTTCATTTACGCAAATTATATTTTTGTGATCTATAATTTTGACTCGAGCGTCATTTTTATATAACGTTTCTGTCAACATGCAAAATTTCTGGCACTGAGAATAAAGTTAGCTAACAAGGGCTTGTTCCCGGATTCTAATATTTTTTTTAATCATTTACAGTATCAATAAAAAAGATGTTTTATCTTATAACCGCATATGATTTTTTTAAAATAAATAATTATTACATATGTTGTTTTTTTGATTTGTGCATGTATATGATTTTTGTTTAAAAAAATAATTATGTTATTACACGCTGGGGAAAACCTCCTGTGAAATATCTTAATTTCTCACTACCGAAAATTAATTTGTTCTTAAAATTATCTTTATCCTTGAACACAAAATATATATTACTTTTTTTAAAGTGATGGCATTTTCATTTCATGTGTTAAAAGCAACATATTCCGCTACAGAATTCCCAGGAATATAAAGTCATATTCTCGTGAAAAAAATCTCCTTTTTTGGAGGGGGAAGGACGGGCTGGGGCCACAGGTATAAAAATGTTTAGTTTTTAAAGTTTGACTTTTACATCATGAAAAATTTGAATTAATTTTCTTTATTTTTTCTTATATTATGCAGCGGTAAATATCTGTCAAAATCTAGTCGGTCTTCAATAAGTGTTATTTCATAATTTATTTTCAGAAGAACAGCCCATCAGATTAAACATGACATCCGACCAGATTTATACACATTGGGAAACGGTTTAAGATTAACAGTGTACAGTATACCGGCTGGATAGACAATAAACCCTAATTAGGTTTATAATAATAATAATAATAATAATAATAGTAATAATAATAATGCTTTATTTAGAAAAGGTAACCCGATTAGTACCAGGTACTATTCTTCCCCGGGGCCTTCTAATTTCAAACAACATATTACATAAAATGATACAATCAAAGATAAAACATGTAGAGTTCGTTAGTGCATAATGTAATGTACATCTAAATGAGATATAGATTCAAAATTGATAAGGAAGTCAATATTAATTGTTCAAGAGACATTGTCTTAAACAATAGTAATAGTCAAACATCTTGTACAAAGGACATATTCAAACATTTATTTACATACGTTGGCTAATTATAATTTTTTCTACATTTCGTCTAAAAATAGGTAAGGTTGGTGATAATTTTATATGTAATGGTAGGTTATTCCATAAATTTACACCTGAATATTGAATAGAATTTGTAAATAAAATTGTTCTATGTTTTGGTAAACGAAGATTATAATTTAGTTCTGAACGTAAGGAATAGGAATCATTGCTATGAAAAACAAAAAGGTCCTGGAGATTTTCGGGGCTCATACCATAAAAAGTTTTGTACAATAAAATACACTTATGTAGTGTGACTAATTCAAATACATTTAGCCATCCCAGTTTTTCAAACAATGGTTTTGATTGTTCGTCGGGTGCTGCATCAAGAATAATTCTAGCAGCCCGTTTCTGAAGTTTATGAATTCTTTCAATGCTAGTTTTAGATGCATTGCCCCATATTGTAAGACAATAGTTTATTGAAGGCAAAATATATGCATTATAAAAAAGTATTCTGGTATTTAATGGAAGAAATTTCTTAATTTTACGGAGTGTGAATAACTTGCATGTTAAGGATTTACAAACTGAATCTACATGATAATTATAATGAAGATTTTGATCTATATAGACACCTAAGAGTTTTTCAACATTAACATTTTCAAGCTTTTCTCCAGAAATTTCTGTATTAAGTTCTGGAATATCTAATTTTGACCTTTTTTGTTGTGTACACATAAGCATAGATTTTGATTTGTTCGTGTTCAGAATCATTTGGTTCTGTAAACACCAGTTTTCAATTTCGCATAAATCATAATTCAAAAATGTTTCAATATTATGTACATTGTTATCAGATAAATGCAGAGTTGCATCATCTGCAAACATATCAATATTACAGTGATTAACACATAGGGGGAGGTCATTTATGTACAATAAGAATAGCAGTGGACCTAAAATAGATCCCTGGGGCACCCCTGCTGTGATAGGTAAGATATCAGAAGAACATGCACCAATTTTAACACTTTGGGTTCTTTCATTTAAATAAGACTGAAACCATTTAATTCTAAGTGAATCAAAGTTATAGTGCCTCAATTTCTCAATTAAGAGATCATGACTGACTAAATCAAATGCTTTACTGAAATCTAGAAATGCTATGCCAGTGAGATTCCCTTGATCCATTGCTTGCAACCAGCTGTCAGTAAGTTTGGTTAGTGCCGTTTGGCAAGAATGGAATTCCCTAAAGCCACTCTGTGAGTTTGTTATGAGGTCAAAAGCTCTGGTGAATTCACGTACTTGATTAGCAACATGTTTTTCAAAAATTTTTGATAAAGTCGGTAAGATTGATATTGGTCTGTAATTACTT